GGACCTCAGTAGGACCTCCGTGCCCTGCCACGTGGACCGCTCAGGAGAGCTAATGGACTCTCTTCCACAAAGACAAATCATAGAGAGAGTGGGGGAGGGATTAGCCACAGTCTCTGTGGCCTAGTTTCAAATGTCACATGCTGTCACTTCTGCCACTTTCTATTAATTAGAAGCAAGTCACTTAAATGCGGCGTATATTCAGAAGGGACCTGGCTCCACCTTTCAAGGTAAGGGGAGTACATTTGTGTACACAGTGCACATCACCGCTTCATCTCTTTTATGCTTTAAATGCTTGACTGTAAACAGTACTTGTGCTTTCAAGAGTAGATAGAAATCAGGGCGCCTGGGTGGCTCAGTGGATTAAAGCCTCTGCCTTTGGCTTGGGTCGAGGTCCCAGGATCCTGGAATAGAGCCCCACATTCGGCTCTCTTCTCCGCGGGAAGCCTGCTTCCCCCTCTCTCTGCCTGCCTCTCCGCCTATTTGTGCTCTCTCTCTGTCAAATAAATAAATAAAATCTTTAAAAAAAATTTTTTTTAAAAGAGAAGATAGAAATCAGCAGTATAATCACCTAGACCTAATACTTTTATAAGTGGTGGCTTGTTAAGAATTTCAGGAAATTAGACTACATTGACCATCATCCACAAAGACCACAGAGACAAAACCAATCAACCTCCCACATGATGTCCTGAGGGACTTTTCCTGAGATTGTAAGGGACCAAACAGTGGTCTGTACAGTTACATAAAACCAGCACGTTGCAGCTACTTAGAGAATATACTGAATTAACTGAAGGAATTCATCTGAGAACTCCTAACCAGCTACCTGCACAGCAAATCTCCCATTCATGATGCTTGTAGGAATGTCCAACAAAACTGACAGGTGTGGGGGGGGGTATTAAAAGTGACAATAAATACAATAAAAAGGAAAAACTACACAAAATACTTTGGTTTATGAAAATACAAGAAATTAACAATATGGAAAAACACAAATTAATAAAATTTGCAGTTGGACAAGAAGTTAAATTGATAGTTTTCAAAGGTAGAATTTGAATTGATGAATGAGTCATACTTAAAAATAACCTACCATGTTCAAAGTGTAAGGTAACATATTAAGAGGTAGCGAAAAGACATTTTATTTTATTTAAAGATTTTATTTATTTATTTGACAGACAGAGATCACAAGTAGGCAGAGAGGCAGGCAGAGAGAGAGAAGAGGAAGCAGGCTCCCTGCTGAGCAGAGAGCCCAATGCGGGGCTCGATCCCAGGACCCTGAGATCACGACCTGAGCTGAAGGCAGAGGCTTTAACCCACTGAGCCACCCGGGCGCCCCCCAAAAAGACATTTTAAAAGAAGAAATTAGAGAGCATAATTTAGTCAGGAAGGCTTATTAGATCCTTGACACATGTCAAAATTCCCTATTCAATTGTACCATGGCAATAATTCAGAGTATTTCTTATAAATCATTCGATAGGTAGTCACTGAGTGTCTCTGGGCCATACACAGGCATAGGCACTAGAGATGTAAAGAGAGATAAGGTCGTTCTTGACCTTCTGGAGCCCTTAGGTTTGTAGACCATCAAGGGAAGTTACAGCTAATTGCTTACTGTTTTGTTTGTTTTATTATCATTCATTAAGACCTAAAAAAGTGTTTATCATTGGGGCACCTGGGTGGCTCAGTGGGTTAAGCCTCTGCCTTCAGCTCGGGTCATGATCTCAGGGTCCTGGGATCGAGCCCTGCATCGAGCTTCATTGGGCTCTCTGCTCCGTGGCCAGCCTGCTTCCCCCCTCTCTCTGTCTGCCTCTCTGCCTACTTGTGATCTCTCTCTCTCTGTCAAATAAGTAAATAAAATCTTTATTTAAAAAAAAGAAATGTTAAAAAAATGTTTATCACTCTTTGGAAATATACTGGCAGATTAATAGATTTGGGCTTATATGGGAATTATAAAATTAAGACAAATATTCACCCAAATATTTGAGTAATAAACAGAATAATTAATACTAATATCATTGTGACTTAGTACAAAGTTAAGGAACAGTCCCATTAGCCTGTCCTCATGTCCAACATAAACTGCAAATTTGATGGGTCTCCAAAACCATCCTCATATTTGGTAATTGTTTAAATGGCTCACAGAATTCACTAAAAGTTATTACACTCAAGGCTGGGATTTATTATGTCAAAAGAATACAGATTAAAAATAAGCTAATTTCATTCCTGTGTGGAATTTTAAAAAACAAAACAGAATATAGAGGAACGGAAGAAGAAATAAAATAAGGTGAAAACAGAGGGAGACAAACCATAAGAGGCTCCTACCTCTAGGAAACGAAGTGCGGGTTGTTGGAGTGCGGTGGGTGGGGGATGGGGCGACTGGGTGACAGGCATTAAGGAAGGCACTTGATGGAATGAGCATTGGGTGTTCTATGCAACTGATGAATCACTAAATTCTACCTCAGAAACTAGTAATACACTATATGTTAATTAAATTCAATTAAAAAAATTTTTTTTTAGTATATGTGCTGCCGAAGCGAGCACAAAAATTTTTTTTTAAATAAGCCAAGGTAAGAGGCACATGAACAGTGTCTCTAAGGGGTCCCAACTCAGAGCTTCTAGTAATCCGTTTCCTTTGTGGGTGTGGGGAGTGTTAATACCTCCTGCAACACAACATTACAACAACACAATACACATTGCCAACCACAGGCCTTTATCACATGAACATGGTTGACTGTGGACCGTCCAGGTGCATGATCTTCTAGCCCGCAGTCCCTCTGCAGGTAGTCCCGATGCCACATGGCCCAAAGCTCCAAACACAAAGGACATTATTACACTCTCCCATGCAGCCCAAGGCCTCTTCCTAAACAGATACTCTTATCCCGCAGGACATTCCAAGGGCCCAGACATCACCTCCCAGCAAAGTTAAAGGCCACACCTTCCTTTGGATAACGTTACTGCTTTACCACACACATAGTCCTAAGAAAATCCACATTTTTATGAGTTAGATATCTGTCATTGGCCATAACTTGAATTCTCCAACTATTTGCTTTTTTGATGGTTCTGTCCCATAGTTTTGGCTATTTAGATCGACTGTGAACCCATAAGTTTTATACTAAGGGCTTTTTCTTTTTTTAAGATTTTTTTTTTTTTTTTTTTTTTTTTGAGAGAGAGGATATGAGAAGAGAAGGTCAAAGGGAGAAGCAGACTCCCTGTGGAGCTGGGAGCCCAATGCAGGCCTTGATCCTGGGATTCCAGGTTGCCTTGGTGGAAGGCAGTCGCTTAACCAACTGAGCCACCCAGGAACATTCTTACTGAAGGCTGTTTTTTGTACTTTATTCAGGTGAACGGCTTCAGCAGTCTCCTCCTTGACTTATACTCCCAACTGCCTTCCAAACCCTGGCTGCAGGAAAGAAAACGGAGGAGAAGTGGAGATCATGTTGGGGGAAGTTCTGAGTTCCTGACCTTCATTTTGCTGGCTTGAGTGCGTGGCGCTACACGCGAAAAAAGGCTCTCTTTGCTTTACTTGAACAGCAGCATTTGAGTGACTTTTCCTTTCATAACCGTGACACCTGCTACCATAGATAGGGAACAGGAATTGTGGAAAAGTGAAGGACTAATGTTTTGGAATTTTGTCTAAAAGTTTAACCATGAAGGTTAAGCTGTGTTTCATAAGTACAAAACAGTATGTCTCACATCCAAGTTATGGCTACTTTTTAGGAAAGACGAAGGAGCATAGGGGGAGAATAAAGATGAGAGAAATGGAAAGAGACTCAGAAAAAAACAGAAGAAAAAAATGGCTACTATGAAAGGAGAGACAGAGCCGGAAGACCCAAGAGAAGCCAGAGAGTGGTAGTCGGAGAAAGCTGAAAGGGAAAAGAACAAGATGAGGGGACAGACCTTGTCATGTTTGGGATGCTTCATCTGGGTGTACCACCTGTTACACACAAAATACTCCCCACATTTCTTGGGTGTCGGGGTGAGTGGATGGATTACAACGCTACCACATCTGGGAGACACTCTCTGACCAGTCCAAGTAAGATGGCGCCCTTCTATCCCATTCTTATGTTGTTCATTCTTCATTACACTTAGCAAAACTGATAAGAATTTGTGTATTATTTGTTTCCTCTTTCCATTCTCCAGACAGTATGCTCCACTGGTAGGGTTAGTCTTTTTTGCTGCTGACTCCCTAATGCCTAAGGCTGTTCCCGGCACACAGTGGGCTCTCAATGAGGTTTTGCAGCAATTGTACCTTATTAAAGTACACATATACTATAAGAGCAGGGATAGAGGCCCGAGGAGAGTTGTTGCAGTGGTTCAATACACTTAGTGACTCAGCCTTTTGGAAGCTTATTTTCCACATCTATACAACAATAACAAAATAATTCTAAGAAGTGTACTATTAAGGATGAAGTGAGATAAATCATGTAAAGTTCTTAAAATGCTTATGGATATTTAGTATACATTTAACAACTGTTAGCAACTACTGTATTTTCTTTAGTCACTGAATTAAAAGGACAATCAGAGCAGTCAGTTCTTCTCAGGCCAAAAACTAAAGAGAAATATGAGCTTTGAATGCTCAAATCCCAACTCAAAAAGTATATTTGGGGGATTTAGAACAAAGATCATCTTGTTCTGGGATATCTGTTGACTACGCATGGTTTGAGATATTATCTGTTCATGCTAACGATGACTAAGGCATAGGTAATATTGGAGTAAATAGCTTATGAATAGGTGTTAAAAGAACTCTTCCTTGTACATCAAATATCAATACTGATGGCAAAATGGTATGGAAGAAATAAACCATTTTTATTTCTTCAATTATAGGAGAGAGATGAATGCAGAGAAGAAATGAATGCAAACAGTAATGGAACATGTGGATGAGCTCATAAAATTTATGAAGTATAAAAGTCTGATCTGCCTGAGAATGATTGATTAGTGTGTATATCCTGCTCAAATCTAACCCACCATGGTTTGTTTTAGACTGATTCATCAGGAGAGCCTAAACAGCCTAAATAAAAGTGTTTTAGCATTTTCACTGTGGTTTTGCTCTAATTATAAAAATAGAATTTACTTCCTTACAGGCCCAGCGACTGGGAATTCGTTATTTACCACCAGTACCTTTGATGGAGAAGTCTAAGTGAGGGCCACACGTCTGTAGATGAGATGTTATGAGTACTAAAATCTGGAGACATAGAATTCTGCATTCAGTGTTGAGTCCAATCCTTCTCCTAGATCTCGCCTTTCCAGACATACAATTTATTTTTCACTTTATCCTCTGGCGTCCACGTCTGAGTGGGTAAGACCTAAGCCCTGTGGAAGGTAAACAGCTTGGTTTAGCTCAGCTGCCATTGGCGGAGTCACCCCCAGCATCGGAACTAAGGGAAACACGACACTTCAAAGCAGTCCCAAACTTCAGCGTGCACCCAAATCACCTGAAGTAGTCTGTAAACTACTGGGCCCCACCTCCCGGATTCTGACCCGCTAGATCTCTAGCAGGATCCGATTGCTTGCGTTACTCTATTACCCAGGTGCTGCTGAAGCTGCCGGTCCGGGGACTCGCGCCAGAGAACTGTGATTTCAACCAGAAGAGGGGATTTCCTTGAAATACTAGTACCAAACACCAACACAGTCACACTCAGGTGTAAACTGCAAAGTCCTACAAATTGGCAGCGGCCATTAGCCACCCTCCGTGTCCGCGCAGGCGTGCAAACTGCCCTGCGCGCCGACAAGCCCCGCCCCCTCACCCTCTGACTCCGGGCCGCGCTCTTCACACCGCCCCCTCATTGGCCCGTTTCTCCGCACCCGTCCCGCCCATTGCCCCAACGAGCCTTACATCCCATTACGTCCTTCCGGCTCCCCCGAGTGGTCGCGCGCCTTCTGGCTGCTTCCGGTCGCCTTCGGCTGGGCGGGTTCCCGCGGCGCCCCCTGCTGGTGCGCAGAGGCTGGTCACCCGGGCTCGCGGAGCTGAGGCTGGACCTTCGCCACTGGACACTGAGCGGTCCGCAGAGAAGAGCGCCGAGCCGAGTGCTCTCCCGCCCGAGCAGCAGGACAGGAATGTCCTTGGTGATCCTCCTGCCTGGCTGTGGGTGAGCCGGCCCCGTCCCTCTGCTGTGGCCGAGGGACCCTCAAGTGGACTCCGCGGGGCAGCCGGCTTGCACACCCGGTACTCACGGTCCGCTGATTTTGAGAGCATTTCCTGCGAATGTTTGAATATTACATGTTTTTTTTTTTTTTAATGGTATTCATTCTAATCCATGTCTTTAGAACTGCTTTTAGTTTGGAAGCATGTGAGAAGATTTTTATTTTTACCATCTTAGAGAAATATTTCCTGTGGCTCTTTAGAGGATGATGATAGAGTGCAGTATATATGAAACTGGTTTCTTAGTATCTATTGTTATTTTCCTGAAGCCAAGGTTGAAATTTTGAAATTATGAAATGTGTACCTTGTAATAAATCGGATATTCTGTGTACGTTAGGTGCAGAAGTCACAGATGAAGTATGTTTATCATGTTGTTCAGTTTTCTATAACGATAAGCATTTTCCTTGGTTGGTATATGAAATTCTAAGAGTCGAATGCTAAAAGCTTGCCCTGTACTTGTAAACATGAAGTTGTAATTCCGGCAGTTCCTGTGATATATATAGTGGCTGTGTGGTCAGGTGTGTCAGGGCCCTGAATGTTACATCCTATCAGTGGATTTTTACTTTGTCGTTATGGATTATAGTTCTTTCTCACTTTCAGAAGTTCTCTTTCATTAGTTTTAAAAATGGACGTTGTTTTGAATGTCTCTTGAATTTTGCCTGTGTTATTCCATTTTTACTCCTTTAAACTTTCATTAAGTATTTCAAAGTCTCTAGCTGACAATTTCAATATCTGACATTATATGTCTGAGGGAGAGGACGGGATCTCCCTTTTTTTTTTTTTTTTGGAAGCCTGAGTCTTCATAGTGTGGTTTCTTCCTCTATTAGTTCACATTTATTATGAGTTTATATTTGGACACCCCAAATTTCTAGGAGAATGCCTGGCAGGTAATATGTGCTCAATAAATAATGAATGCATGAATAGTTAGGTGACAGATAGATAATAGGTAGATAATAGATAACGTGTGTAACCCAGTAACTTGGGTTAAAGATGCTTCCTTTCTAAAGAGGTTTAAGTGTACCTCCATGAGGCACTAGAGGGCACCCACCGCCTTTTAATTTCAAGCTTTCACTGAAAGTCCACACTCTAGGTCTTTAGAGAAATCCTTATAAATTTCCTCTGCCCTTCTCCATGGCACCATTTCTGAGGCAAACAGGTTTCCTTCTTAGAAATTTTTGCTAGATTTTATTTTCCCCCTCAAGGCTAAGCTTTCTCAAGAGCCCTGGTTCTGTGGTAGGTGTTTCCAGTTCAGTTGAAAGGCCTAGAATCCTGTTTTCCCCAAAGGGCTGACATTAATTGAAAAAGTGCAGAATCTTAATGACATTTGCCTCCAGGGAACCCAATCTGATGTGTTTCTCAGTCAGGCTTCAGCTCCTAGGTGTGTATTGTTCTGGGAGATTTGGGGAGTTTTCCTTTGTTTCTTGTTATCTGGGCCATGATGTGTGTTTGCCATTTTTCAAGCCCATAGCTATTTTGCTTCATGATGGCTTTCCAGACTATCTTGTTGTCCACACTGGAACCAAAATCCTTACAGTGTACCTGTCTATCGCCACTAATATTTTTGAGCCTTAAAATGGTTTAATATTGCTATACTTGCTATCTCTTGGTAACATTTCCAGGCATATTTTCCCCTCACCCTTATTTTTTTCTTTATTATTACTTTTTAAATCCATGCATGATTTGTTTTCAGACTCAAGAGGCACACTATATAATACATTTCGTATTATACACACTTTTTTGATTTATAGAAAAATAAAAAGCATCATAAAAAGATAAAATACTGTACATATTCCAGAACTCCGATGTCAGGGAAGAAGAATTCCTCTGTACTCCAAGGTCCTTTTAGCTGGACTGGAATCAAATTGATATGGGACAGATTAACAGTTGAAAATTAAATTTAATACTGTACGTACAGGGAATCCACATAGACGCAGACATTTCGAAAATAGGCAAAATAAGGTACATATGTTATTGTGAACTAAGGAGACTGGGGCAAGCATCTCGGACTCCAGACAGAGGGAGGGTAATTCACACGGGGGATAAGAAGAGCAGATGTTTGGTAATTAGATGTTTGCCCTACCATACAAATGAGTCACTCAGATAAAATTTATCTCTGTTAATAAACCTTATTCTAGGAAAGACCACCAATTTAGATTCTTCTGTTTGGCTAAGGGAGAGACAAAAATTTTCTTGAGATTGCTGGGTATCAAGTGTCTTTAGCTCAAAATAATCCACATGCCAAGTGGCACATTGGGTGGGGGGAGGGCTGTCCTGAGCCCCTTCAGTTTCCCCATCTAAATTTCCTTGGGAGTTTCACATATTAAGAGTTGAGCAGGTAGGTTGTTTCATCTCATTGATCTAGTCTCTTAGTCCTGACAGTAGTTCAGTTTGGTCAAACTCACTTCAGGAGGCCGTGATCCAGTTATATTCTCCGAGTTTGGCCTGTGGGTTAAGTAATCAGGTGTTAAGTAAGAGGCATTTCTATGGAAACAAAAGCAATGGTTAATGATTGGGTCAAATGTTAACCCAGTTTTTGAGTCTCAGGATAGTCAGTTGAGAAGACTTCAAGATGTCAGTTTGGAAGCATGTTCAACTAGAGCGAGAGCAGGTACTAGCAACCTGACAGGTTTTCCTAGATTGTAGTTCAGATGTCTCTGGTGATCTTTTGAGTGGGCCATAGAGCAACAGGACAAAAATTGTCTATGCATGAACTTTATGGCAGTTTCTTTACATCAGGTCATTTATATTTAGTTTTCCAGGGCTTCAGGAGAAAAGGAAGTTTTAGTTCTCAAAAAATCCAAAGTCAGAAAAATGGAAGAAAAATCAAAATGTTAGTTTGGAGACTTGTAGCCAGGAATTGGAGGACGGTAGAGGAAATCCCGATGTAGTTCAGTTTATAATGAATAGTATTAAAATCTTATATCTACAAAGACGTGTTATTGAAACAGATTTTCTCTCTCTACCCACCCTCATTCTTACCAAAGATATCTATATTAACAGTATTTTGTTTTCAAAATAAGATTTTTAGTTTCAAAAAATCTTGGCCTGATTATTTATATAAGTCCACCAAGAACATGGTTGACCCTATAGATTTTTTAAAACCTGCGTTGCTGGAACTTTTCAAAGGAATCTCCAGATGGAACCTTTAATAGCCTCTCAAGGCCAGAAGCCCAGTCAAATCCTTGCCATCAGACTTGACCTGCAATACCTACACATTTGGGCGTAGGTGAGTTTCTCTCTCCTCAAGGTCCCCAGAATATCCTGAGGTTCCCGCACCTGCCAGGAGGTAACCTCTACTCACCTAGTAAGATTGTTTGGAATTCTGAAAGCAAGGTATCAGGGTGATATTTCCAAGGGGCTCATTGTCTCCATAAACTCAACCTTAGTTCCTTAAAGCTGTCTGGTCATATCTGAGTCTATGCATGTCTCTCAAATATGACATTCCAGTCAAAGCCTCGGTAATATAACTATTGTTTCCATTTACATCTGTCACAAGGAGAACAAATGTTTATTGCATTTATGCAAATAAAAAAATTGCCATCAAAATATAAGAATTCTCACAGATTTTCCGGAGCATTCAGGTAGGGAGAAAAGATATATTTTTTTAATTTGTTCACAAAGGCATATTTTGTCAAACTTCTATATGTCAGCTTAAGAATAGATGTTTTCTTAAATCTGGAAAAAAGTGAAACATTTTTTAAAAGTAATGTTTGAAACAAAAACTCATAAAAAGTATAATTATCTTCCTGAATTCATTCCATCCCATGTTATTAATAATTCTTGTTCTGTTTGAATACAACATTTCCACCAGTTCTGGAAATTTTTACATAGTTCAGCTCTTGGGTTTTGTTTGTTTGTCTAGAGAGAGAGTGTGAGGGGGGCGGGCAGAGGGAGAA